AATTGGCCCTACATATCAGCTCAAAAATATCAACTTAAATACATCGTTAGAGGTTATCGACCGTTGATTTCAATCGGTATGGGCCTAAGCTCTGAATAAAGTCAAATCTGTGGGTTTTTACTTGTGCACACTTCTGGTCCAGTGTGTAGAGTGGTGTACGGCTGCCACGTCCATAACTCTGCTTTATAAAAATACCACAGATGTCCATAACTACTGAACAGAGCCAATAATCTACTCTATTAAAACAGTTCACGTGGATGTGAAATGCAGCAGACGGACAGACTTTATATAAGGCCAGGAGTGCACACCTCAGCTTCAATGTTTTTTAAGAGACAACGTGATTGATTATTCTTTCACTCCCCACACACTGAGGATCCTCATGTGCCACACAGCTGCCCTGGGGCACACAACACACTGATAAAAATGTGGCTGCCATTCTGACCACCACAATAAAACCTATACAGACATACAGTCACTACAGGAGATATTAAACACCTACAGGGTATTACATGATTAGATCAACATGCTACCTTCTGTTGTTTTGACAATATGACACTCACTCTCGCTCTCTGGACTGACCCCAAGGTGTACTATGTAGTTCTGTTTATTTCACTTTTGTCTCACATGCGCCGCACATCATTCACCACAAACATCATTTCTGTGACAACACACTTCAAGCAAACAAACCCCTGAGAATTTGAACAAGCTTGATTTCCCCATACACTGTGGGCTTTCACACTGACTCATCTGCAGACAGACCAAGACAACCTGCAGACAGACCCAGACTCACCTGCGCAGACAGACCCAGACTCACCTGCGCAGACACACCCAGACTCACCTGCGCAGACAGACCCAGACTCACCTGCAGACAGACCCAGACTCACCTGCAGACAGACCCAGAACCTGCGCAGACAGACCCAGACTCACCTGCAGACACACCCAGACACCTGCGCAGACAGACACCCAGACTCACCTGCGCAGACAGACCCAGACTCACCTGCGCAGACAGACCCAGACTCACCTGCAGACAGACCCAGACTCACCTGCGCAGACAGACCCAGACTCACCTGCAGACAGACCCAGATTCACCTGCGCAGACAGACCCAGACTCACCTGTGCAGACAGACCCAGACTCACCTGCAGACAGACCCAGATTCACCTGCGCAGACAGACCCAGACTCACCTGTGCAGACACACCCAGACTCACCTGCGCAGACAGACCCAGACTCACCTGCGCAGACAGACCAGACTCACCTGCAGACAGACCCAGACTCACCTGCAGACAGACCCAGACTCACCTGCAGACAGACCCAGACTCACCTGCGCAGACAGACTCAGACTCACCTGCGCAGACAGACCCAGACTCACCTGCAGACAGACCCAGACTCACCTGCGCAGACAGACGTGTCTCACTGAAGTTGATCTAAATTGCCATATGAACATGTCAAACTGCACCTCTGCAGCGCCCATTCATATAAGCGAGTTTCAGCTGACGTCATTGTTATTAAAAGCTTCGCGTTGCATGCTGGGAAATATTTTGGGCGGAGGCAAGAAACAGGATAGCGTCAAACACAGTGCGTAACCTCGCGTATTTATCCCAGATAATGGTAAATTCCTGCTGCATTATCAGATGCACAAATAGAAGCACGGAAGAATAAAAATGTCTTTTTCGTATTCCGAGTGAAAAGAACCACTAACGGTGAATTAAATGACTTTCAAACATTCACAGAGCAAACGTAGAAGATCCTAACAAACCGTGGACTCCAACAAGTTCAACAACACATCGAGACTCTTGGAGGTTTTCATCTTTTCTGCTGTGAATGGCCCAGGAGTTTCCACCAAGTCATTGTGGATATCACCCAAGTGAATATTTGTCCAGGTAGTTGGTGATTCTGACCAGAAATTTGGTTTGGTCCACCTTTTGTCGGGGTTGAAAAGGGTGATTTGTCGTCCGTCGATGCTTATGACCAATTTCTGGTCAAATGGTCTTGGCTCCTCTGCCGTTAGAGTGGATAAATAACCAGGATCAATACCCTTTACGTGTTTTCTCGCTCCGTCCGTCATGTTGAATTAGTGTTTATTGCCGCCGACCAAAATAATTCCCAGCATGCAACGCGCGCTTTTGTCAACACTGAAACTCGCCTATAAATAGGCCGAAATTCTCAGAGCTTTAAATGTGAATCAGAATGTGTGTGTCAAGTTCACATAGACTCAAGCACTGCTCTCTGAATACTCATTTACGATGACCGAATGTCCCTTCAGAGTGCGATCACAACACAATCAGCATCCACTAATTAAACTACTTCACATTCCACATCGATTACTCAAACATGCAACAACCTTCTAGCATGGTAGAAAGCTCCAGAAGGTCCATTTGTCTTAATACCCCCTTTTTAAGGAGGGTGAAGTGTCTTGCTCGAGGATACAATAGAAAGCTTCAGGACAAATGGAAACAGAAATGCACTGACAAATCCAACCAACCATAAATTAAAATAAAACAATGTATGAATCTAAGCTGAAATAAGTCATAATTCTTGACGTGTCTTAAAGGTGGAAAAGCTCTGTACAAAAATGTGACCAAGTTTTATTGCAAATTCTAACTCTTGTAACTGGGCCCATGTGATCTGTATCAGTAAATATTCCGAAGTGCAATTTGTGAAGCATCTGGTTTTGTCACTGGGGACTTACAAACCAAACGTCTGAGAATAAATTAGAGACACAGTACGAATATATAATGGTCGTATTTATTTATTTTTCTAATGGGAATCGCAATTTATGGATGTTTGAAAAATGACCAAATTCAAAAGTGTCGTACAGTTTGACAGGAAGCAGAGCTGTGCACATTTAATGGATTTTTGAGCACGTCCATATTTGGTGTCGACTTCGGCTCTTTATAAATGTGTTCAATTTTGTACAAAAAGGGGAAAATATTATTAGGAGTTCAGATCATGTGGGGACAGATCCATTAACTCTGGTTTGTCTCTGGTTTGAATCCGGTGTTATTGGGCAAGACTCTCCACCCACTGAGATGAAACTCATACAGTCTTGATATTAAATGATGTTAGTGAATGATGTAATGGTTGAGCCAATGACGTTCATTTTGTCTTCTTATATACTTTAACTTCTTGGTTTCTTTTTAAAGACAATGCAGTAAAGTGTATTTACCTTGTTGACATGTTTTGGCTGCTGCTGCAAGCATCTTCAGAACTGTCCCCTGTCACCAAAAATCTGTGTATCATTCGTTCATTCGTTTTTCTATATAAAACCAAAAATAAGAAAATGAAAAAAAAAACAACTGTTTTCTTCATTAACCAAAATGAAACTAGAAAAGCAGTCAGAGAGCGCAGACCTCCGCCAAGGACTACCCCCATTTTTTATATAAATTGCGATAAAATCAGTCTTCTGGATCAGATCCAGATCAGCCTTTGGAATATGAAAGAGGATCCCATTGTCCATCCCTGAGTCAAATTTCATGGGGTTTGGTCAATAATTAACCGAGATATTGAGAAACAAACTTTTTGGCCCCATTTACCACAATGTTAACTAAAATTTCAAAGTGATCAGAACAGGCAAACGCCGGCAAAAACATAACCTCCTTGGCGGAGATAAAAAACAGATAATGATTCATTTTTTCAGTTTTCGATTTTGTGTTTAAATGAAGAATGGATAAAAACAGATTCCCGTTTACGTGACTACCGTGATTGAACCAGGACTGATCCAGGTCCGGGACCGGAGCGGGACTGGAGTGGGATCAGAGTGGGACTAAAGCGGACTCCGAGCCTCAGCTTTGAGCTCCGGCCCTGCAGTGGGCTCTGAGCCTCCGGTTTGGTCCTGGTCTGGTCCCGGCCTGGCATCGGTTTCAGTCTCAGTCTGGTCCCGGTCTCAGTCCCGGTCTCAGTCTCGGTCTGGTCCCGGTCTCAGTCCCGGTCTCAGTCTCGGTCTGGTCCCGGTCTCAGTCCCGGTCTCAGTCTCGGTCTGGTCCCGGTCTCAGTCCCGGTCTCAGTCTCGGTCTGGTCCCGGTCTCAGTCCTGGTCTGCTTCTGGTCTGGTCCCGGACCTGGATCAGTCCTGGTTCAGTCCATATGCGGCGCAAAAGTCCGGCATCACAGTCATGGAAGTCACGTAAACGGGAAACGGCCATTATCCGTTTTTTTCCATTCTTCATTTAAACACAAAATCGAAAACTGAAAAAACAAATCATTATCCATATTTTTTCATTTTGGTTTTGGAGACAAATAATGAAGAAAACTGTTTTTTTTTTTTTTTTTCATTTTCTTATTTTTGGTTTTATATTGAAAAACGAATGAACGAATGATACATGGATTTTTGATATTTAAGGCTATGAAGATTATAAAATGGGTAAAATAGTACTCCTCTACTCATTTCAGTATATTTTAAACTGCAAGTGATTTTATTTATTTTTTTAATATATTGTTATCTTGCCTCTTATTGTTATTTTATATTTTTGTTGGATAATAATGATTGAGAAAACAAAACTGAAGTGTAGGTCCTGAATTAATGTAATGTAATATCACACGATGTCTCACCTGTTTAATGTTTAATTCATTTTATTATTTATTTATGTTATTGCATAGTGAAAATTACCTCACAGGGCTTCAGAAAATTGTTGATTTAACCAACAGAAAGTTAGAAAATCAAACAGTGAAGCAGACACTGGTCAATAACAGACAGGCAGATGAATCAGTATTTACAGAAAACAAACACATGGGGAACTGTACAGAGAGTGTGTGTGTGGAGCGATGTCTCACCTGTTTGATGATGTACAGAGAGTGTGTGTGTGGAGCGATGTCTCACCTGTTTGATGATGTACAGAGAGTGTGTGTGTGGAGCGATGTCTCACCTGTTTGATGATGTACAGAGAGTGTGTGTGTGGAGCGATGTCTCACCTGTTTGATGATGTACAGAGAGTGTGTGTGTGTGGAGCGATGTCTCACCTGTTTGATGATGTACAGAGAGTGTGTGTGTGGAGCGATGTCTCACCTGTTTGATGTTGTAGAGGCCAAAACGGTCGCAGTTTGGGAACTTGAGCTCAGAAAGATTCTCCAGAGGTCCCCTGTGGTCCTCCGTCGTGATTTTAGCCACTGCCTCCATCACTCTGTCCAGCTCCATCTGACACGCGCTCTACACAGGACAAGACTGTGTTAGTAAGTTATTTTCCATTCAAGAGGAGTTATTTGACTTTTATGGGCTATTAACTGCTAACATATAACTATATTTAAGAGGTGTCCACACAGCAAAGTTTTTTGGCTGAAATGGTGAAGTTTTTGTTCGTTCTGACCTTTCGTCCACACGGAACCAGCGTTTTGGGTGGGTGAAAACTGTGTCTTTTGAAAACCGGTTCAATAATGGAGAAATCTGAGAACGTCGGCGTTGCGTTTTTGTGTGGATAAGCAAACTGCAGCTTTTAGAAAAACCATGACGTCATGACACCGTCATCGCCACATGTCCAGAAGAGAACCCCGCGCAACAACCGGTAACATCCATAACAACAACAGTTGAGTTGAGTTTGTGCTGCAGACACTTCTAAGTTTATTTGCACTGTTGCATCAAAACCTCTTAATCTATACACAGTTTATTTGTCATTATTATCATAATATTATATATAATTATGTGCATGTGCTCTTTGTAGTATTGTGTCCAGTGGCTCTGGTTGTATCCTGTTAACAGCACCACATACAGGTGTGGCAGATGTATTACATCGTTTCCACTCTGTGCTCCATTGTCGTGTGGACATGAATATTTATTGGCCCGACAAGTGGTGGGTGAGAATTTTTTTCAACCCACATGAAAAAAGCTTGGAGGAGCAGCTGAGGTGGCTCAGGCATCATGCCTCCTCCAAAACACCTCCCTCGGGAGTTCTCCCTCGGGAGTTCTCCCTCGGGAGTTCTCCCTCGGGAGTTCTCCCTCGGGAGTTCTCCCTCGGGAGTCCCGGATAAGCTCAAGAAAATGGATGAATGGATGGATGGAACCCAAAAGTTTAGCACAATTTACACAAGAAACACAACATCATATCAGCCAAATGAAAGTGTTTTCTTATATTTTAGTGAAATAATCTCTGTGCATGTTAGAGGGTTTTGGCCCAGTTTACATCATGGTTGCTAGGTAACAGTTATGGAATAAAAAAAAAAAAAAAAAAAAAAAAAAGTTGAAAACAAAAATAGAGGAATGCTGAGTTCTAAAACAGAACATGTCACCAACACAGAGAACCCCACCCAAATCCAGGAACCACTGACGGACAAGGAAGGAATTTATCAGATTTTTTAACGAGAAGTCTTAATGTGAGTCAGATCTGCTTTAAGGCGTTTTAAGGCGTTGTTGCGATAAGCTCCTGTACTTAGTGTGACCTTGTGTTAGATTTCTGTTTGTTGCACAAGTTCCCGTCCTGGTTTGAGGCCCACAGGAGAAAGTGTGCGCTCTGCTCTGTGCACCACACACACGTCCAACAGCTCCTCCTGCCCTCTGTGTCCACTGCACTACAACAAAGACCAGACACTGCTGGGAATCACACCCTCGCCCCGCTGTTAATGAGCAAAGCACTGTGGAGGCCCCTCTGAGTAGAGAACAGAGCAACGTGTTAATGTGTATATGTATCGTCCTGTCATCCTGCTTTTCAAGACACCACCTGATTTTTACTGTTTTAAAATGTGAAAAACAGTTAGTGGTCCAAAGTTCTTCCTCACTCACCTTCTGCATTCAAACCATCATAATTATTCATCATGATGAGTTCATAAGCACTTTTCACAACTTTCAGAGACCAGAGCGGAGTTGTGTCATCACTGTAACGCACCACTAGCATGATAACACACACTTCCTGGTTCAAGGATAAAAACGTTTTAGGTAGTGAGGATTCAGTTCAGAGATGTTACGTGTTTCCTCATCACAAACAGACCTGGAGTTGTGTCTTGTCTCATTCACACATGTTTAACACACAAACCAGCATGTTTAGGTAATGTTCCACTCTGTTCCACCTTGTGATGTCATGTGGTGATACAGGAAGTGCTACACTGTGTTTTTAAACACCACACACTAGAATCATCTGGATCATTTCAGTCCGGGAACTGTCAAACTCTACTGAACTAAAGGTAAAAAGGAGCTCAAAACGATCTCTTCAAGACATTCGTTTAGAGCTTTGGAGATGTAGACTGAGTCATAATGAAGTGTGACACACAGCAGCGTGTATTCACATTATGTTTTATTTTGGTATGTATTGGGGAAGTCTAATTTTAATAATAAACTTAACTAAGCTGTAATTACATCCTCACGCCAGTAGGGGACACGTGATTCTGTGAGACGGAATAGTGAGGTCCTCCAATACGGCAGAAGAAACGCAAAGAGAAACGTCACAGTTGCCCATCTCCTTCTTTGCCTGTGTTTTACACGTCAGTAACAGGTTACAGGTTAATTTTTACAGGTTAAAAAACACATTTTAATAAATAAATTATTGCATTTATACAGCGCCTTTCAAGACACACAAAGTGCTTTACGGATCATTCTTCATGCAGTTTACACTCGTGGTAGTAGGAAACTGTTGCAGCCACAAAGGCAGACTGATGGAAGTGAGGCTGCCAGTCTGCACCATCGGCCCCTCACTCACTCACTCACACACACAACACTTTCACTTCTGTGGGATCTGATTTTCCCAGTGGTCTCCCATCCAAGTCCTGCCCAGGCCCGGCCCTGCTGATCTTCTGAGGTCTGACGGGACTTTGACAAACCGACATGACCTCATTATACGGGTCATAAACTATAACAACCACAGCTAACTGTGCGAGTTTAAATCAGCTGGTAAATACTGTGTTTTTGTCAAGTTTGAGCCATGTAAAAACACGTGAAAAAACAGGTCAAGACGAGGCCACGGGCGCCATTTTGAGTTTAATGCGCATTTATTTTAAGCTCCTGCTTTTCTAACTGAGAATGTTTGAAAGTGCTCTGACATTGTTTATAAGTGTACACGTGTAAAGGTTCAGTTCAGAGGTTCATGAGTGAAAGTTCAAAAGGTCTCGAGCTAAAGCTTAAAGCCACTCAGCAGTACGTGGTTACTTACTCCCATGTAATTCATGAGCCGTTAAGGTGGGGGTTATGTATTTAAAAAGGTTGTGAAAAGCACGTGTAAAACTGATGAAAATGTGTTTTGGAGTAAATCGTCATGGGGAACATGTAAACAACGGAGATATCGAATGAAATGTTTACTGTTCTTGATTTTGATACATGATATTTTATTGCATGAATGTGAATACACACATCAAGAATTTCAGACTTCCGGTCATTGCACAGTGCATAGTGGGGAGGATTTTCTGAAAAAATTAGCATCAAACCACCATGTTTGTTTTCCCAGTGGGATGTGTCTATTGACAAAGTGGATCTTTGTGGAGCGTCATCAAAGCAGGATCCCGTTTGTAAAGTGAGACGTACAGAAGACAAACAGACTGAGCTGCACTTTCTTGTTCTTGTGGTTTTACAGCAACATCACGTCTTGGTCTCTTTACAGTGGAAGGTGTTTCTTGGCGAACAGTTGGTGCCTTTTGCTTTGGCGCTGACTTTTTACATTTGTAACCGAGGTTGAGTGAGGGATCAGGATTTTGCTTTGATGTCGCTCCACATACAAAATGTTCGCTGCAAACTCAGGATGATTTAGTCAGTCAAATGTTTCCTTTTTGGTTCTTCCTGTGGATCAGTCACACACATCTGACTCCAGATTTGCAGTTTGCTGTCACACACATCTGATTCCCTTTTGCATTTATGAAGTTTGCAAACAAATTTCTCGAGCTGTTTTCCGCTGTTAGGATCCAACAACCACACAATTACGATGTCCAAATCCCAAAACTAAAATATGACAATATCAGAACAAGAAACAAAAGTCTGCACTGCGCGATGACCGGAAGTCCGAGATTCTTGATGCGTGTATTGTAAACCAAGAAAATGTTGTTAAATCTGAACATTGAAATGAAAATACATGATTGTATAAATAAATGTGGCAGAAACGAGGAAAAGAGAAACTTTATGGTCACTTGTCTCGTGTCGTGTTTTTCAGGAAATATTGAATCTGCCGAACAGGCCCAGAACCTGAGTCTGATAAAAAAGGATTAGTCAAACATACGTGAATGAAACAAAACACAAGTCCAGGTATGTTTTCAACGAGGAAGCAACATTAGAACATGGCTCAAAGTGCACAAGAATCCATTTTGAGTAAAGCAGGGCCTTTAAACCGACTGCACACAGACTGACAACCCAAATGAGCCTCTTCTGTCGCCTCTTGATTGGATAAACGTCTTGAGAACCAAAACACCAAATTATAACATAAACAATATTTCTGTAATTAAGAATAAATCAGCATTAGGATTGTTATCGTTAAGAACAATATTTGCTCCGAGCGCGTCTGTCTCGTATCTGGGGACGCAGTTAGCTCACGTTTGTGGAATTTCCTTCAGGATTCTTGTTGTGCGGCGTTAATGAGCGAGGCCTTGGCGGTCGTCCTCGCGGATTGTTGTTGTGTTTTTGTCCTGGTTTAGCTCCGTTCGCGTCCTCAGAGTGCGTTTGCGAGCGCGCAGCTGCAGAGGAGAGGGACCGGCCGGGTGGGTGGTCACCGGAGGTCACATATTTAAGATCATCTGTCAAACACGATTATGAACGCAACTGTGAGCTGACACTAAGAAGATCCACCGAGAATGTGCAAAGATATTAGGCTTAACTGCTTTTCTCCCTCTTATTTTAACGTAGAACTGAACGCCGAAACTCTGTCCACAGCCGATTTTCAAACATTGGAGTGAGGGGGCAGGGGTCTGGAGGACTAAATGTATAATTTTTTAGATTGTAAATGACTTCACAAGTTATATTTGCTCACTGATTCTCCCATATTTTAGCTACTGCTCAGAAGTTTGGGGCAACACTTCTCCAAGTAACATAAAATCTTTGTTCCTGCTGCAAAAAAGAGAAATACGAATCTTTAGAGTGACTAAACGTCCGTTTTTCCCCGGACATGTCAATTTTTTGCAGCGTTGTTTTTTTTTTCATAAAGTGATGCAAATGTCCGGGTTTTCATGACCGTTCATTAGGGGCATTAAACTGAGCGTCTCTCGTAGATCTCTGTGACTCAGAAGGAGCGAGACACAAACAGTCGGTCAGTCTGCAACATGCCGAAATGCGCATTTAACAGTGACTTGTACAAGAAATTCTCCGTTTTCCATCCCGGTCCATAATGGAGTCCTACAGCGTCCTGCACGGGTCCATTTTTGGAGACCCGCAGTACAGGACGGCACCCGCACAGTACAACAACGCACCCGCCCATTAACCCGAGATTATATCAAACTTTTGCGGTGCCTATGCCACGGACCAAACCAAGACTAAACCAGGACTAACCTAGGACTGATTCCAAGACTGAAGAGAAGGACTAATCCACGACTGAACCACAGCAGAAAGGACCGGCTCAGCTCCGCACCTCACAAAGGTAAGTGCGGCAATTGCCCGATCGCAGTTTGCAGACAAACTGCTCTGTGTTCTCTCACTTAAGTCCAAGATTAGTCCTGGTTTAGACCTGACCCACCCGTGTGTAATTACTACCCGCCCATAATATGCAATATGCATTTATTAAAAAAAAAAAAGCATGCAAAATTGCACACAAAAAAATGCGAGAAATGGCGAGACCGTGATATAGCGAGGGACGACTGTAGCTGAATGTCGAGGCCTCATCTCCCACCCCCGGTAAGGTGTCTGGGTTTTCACAAACAGAAATATGGTCACCCTATGAATCTTTGATAGCGAGGCTTGTTTTATTAATTGTGGGTTTGAGTGAGTAGATTTTGCATGTTTTTATTTGCTGTTTTTATCAGTTTTTTTTTTTTTTTGCTGTGGCATTTTATTTCATTTGTTTTAAGCCTGTATCATCACCGACCTATAATCCCAATCCATGTGACTTTTTTTGACCAATGAGTACAGGCGGCTAGAGATGGAAATAAAAGGGAGAATAGGACACTGACAAGGGGAGAGTGGGCCCGGAGCTGCCGAGGAGCCACCACCATAAGTCGGATCACAAGTCGGATCGGAGCACCACGACGCCGGAGCAAGAAACTCTGTCTTGCCTGTGAGTGTTTTACGTTTATTAGTGATGCTCTGGCTCGATAGTCTTTGGTTGTAGGTGATAGTTTTGTGTTGCTCGGTGCTCGGTGCTGTGCCGAGGGGACAGAGCGGAGAGACGAGAGACGATCATCAGTGACCAAAGAAGAACACCACGACACTGAGTCCACACAACGACGGAGTGAAGAGCTGCGCCGTTGTGTGGACTCAGATCTGCTCTGTCCTCAGGTCTGTCCTCTATCCTCTTCACTGTCCTCTGTCCTCTGTCCTCTGCTCTGTCTTCTATCCTCAGCTCTGTCCTCTGTCCTCGATTCTGTCCCTCAGCTCTGTCCACTGTCCTTTATTCTCTGCTCTGTCCTCTGCTGTGTCCTCAGGTCTATCTCTGCTCTGTCCTCTATCCTCTGCTCCTGTCCTCTGCTCTGTCCTCTATCTCTGCTGCTCTGTCCTCTGCTTGTCCTCTATCTTCTGCTCTGTCCTCTATCCTCTGTCCTTTGTCCTCTGCTCTGTCCTCCATCCTCGATTCTGTCTCTGCTCTATCCTCACCTCTGTCCTCTGCTCTGTCCTCCTCCTCGATTCTGTCCTGCTCTATCCTCACCTCTGTCCACTGTCCTTTATTCTCTGCTCTGTCCTCTACCTCTGCTCTGTCCTCTTCTGCTCTGTCCTCTGTCTTCTGCTCTGTCCTCTGCTCTGTCTTCTGCTCTGTCCTCTGCTCTGTCTCTGCTCTGTCTTCTGCTCTGTCTTCTGCTCTGTCCTCTGCTCTGTCCTCTGCTCTGTCCTCTGTCCTGAATTGCGCACCGGACTGTGGGACGTCTCAGCTCCTCATGGCGGGTTAGGAAGCTCCCGAGGAAGCACGCAGGCTCCTTTTCCTAACTCCTTCCTAACTCCTAACAGGATTCAGACTGTTACGACAGACAGGAGCTCCACAGATCTGACCCGTAACTCGGCCTGTCCTGTTGGTGTCACCTGTTCATCTCAGTATAGAACAGTTTAAAGCCATACTGTGGGACTTTTTTAGTGCATCTTTAACAGAGTGAAGCCAGTGGAAAGGGCAGGTTACATTTGTACATTTGACGACGTCCAGAACTTTTGCTTTGTGAGTTTTCAGATTAAAATGTAAAACATGACACGACTATTGCAGCACTTTTAAATTATTCTCACCAAAAGAACTGTGAAGATGCTGAAGTTGTGTGTCGTATATGGACTGAACCAGGACTTAACCAGGACTAAGCCAGGACTAAACCAGTACTAAACCAAAACTGAATCAGGACTTAACCAGGACTAAACTAGAGCTGAACCAGAACTGAACCAGGTCTAAACCAGGACTAAACCAAAACTGAACCAGGTCTAAACCAGAACTAAACCAGGTCTAAATCAGGACTAAACCAAAATTAAACCAGATCCGAACCTGGACTGAACCAGGACTAAACCAGATCTAAATGAGAAGTGAACCAGGACTGAACCGGGACTGAACCAGGACTAAACCAGGACTGAACCAGGATTAAACCAGGTCTAAACCAGTTCTAACCAGTTACATCAGATGCCCTTCCTGTTGAAAATAGTTCCTTTCACAGTCAGAGAGATTTCGATGCAGACTTTGTCCTTTTCGTGGTTTGAACCTCTGCTCTTGTGGTTTGAACGTGGGACGACATTCCTCACTTAAGGGTCACTTATCCTATGGAGCAAATGGATTGGGAGGATTAGCACACCTCAGGGGCTTTCACCGAGCAGTCAAACCAGGACATGAACTTCTGCTCCACTCAGGCTCCTGCTCCGTCCACCTCCTCCACCTCCTCCACCTCCTCCTCCACCTCCTCCACCTCCTCCACGCTGCGTTTAGATGAACGTGGACCTGAAGATCATATCTCAGTGTTTTTGAAAAGACTTGCTCTGTGTCGTCTCCAGCCAGAACCAAACGATTCAGGTTTAGGATTTGATAACTTCAGTGACGCACGTGAAGCGAAGGAGCTCCTTACTCACAGTCCTCTATCCTCTGTCCTCTGTCCTCTGCTCTGTCCTCTGTCCTCTGTCCTCTGCTCTGTCCTCTGTCCTCTGTCCTCTGCTCTGTCCTCTGTCCTCTGCTCTGTCCTCTGCTCTGTCCTCTGCCTCTGTCCTCTGTCCTCTGTTCTCTGCCCTGTCCTCTGCTCTGTCCTCTGTTCTCTGCTCTGTCCTCTGCTCTGTCCTCTATCCTTCGCTCTGTCCTCTGCTCTATCCTCTGTCCTCTGCCCTGTCCTCTGCTCTGTCCTCTGTCTCTGCTCTGTCCTCTGCTCTGTCCTCTGTTCTCTGCTCTGTCCTCTGCCTCTGTCCTCTGCTCTGTCCTCTGCTCTGTCCTCTGTTCTGCTCTGTCCTCTGCTCTGTCCTCTATCCTTCGCTCTGTCCTCTGCTCTATCCTCTGTCCTCTGCCTCTGTCCTCTGCTCTGTCCTCTGTCTGCTCTGTCCTCTGCTCTGTCCTCTGTTCTCTGCTCTGTCCTCTATCCACCGTTCTGTCCTCTGCTCTGTCCTCTATCCTTCGCTCTGTCCTCTGCTCTGTCCTCTGCTCTATCCTCTGTCCTCTGCCCTGTCCTCTGCTCTGTCCTCTGTCTCTGCCTCTGTCCTCTGTCCTCTGTCCTCTGCTCTGTCTGCTCTGTCTCTGTCCTCTGTCTCTGTCCTCTGCCCTGTCCTCTGCTCGTCCTCTGTCCTCTGCTCTGTCGTCTGTCCTCTGCTCTGTCCTCTGCTCTGTCCTCTCCTCTACTCTGTCCTCTGTCCTCTGCTCTGTCCTCTGCTCTGTCCTCTCCTCTATCCTCTGTCCTCTGTTTTCTGCTCTGTCCTCTAAAACTCTTGATGAGACTGGGCGTGTTTTAAACCTTCGAGGAGAAGCACGCTGGACTGTGGGACGTCTCAGCTCTTCACGACCGGTTAGGAAGCTCCCGAGGTTCCTACGCTAAAGGAGCTATGAAAGGAAGCACGCAGGCTCCTTTTTCCTAACTCCTCCCTCAGTGCAAGAATAAACTGTGGAAGTGTCTGTGTGATTCAGTAAAGCTCAGACCGGTTTCTGTCTCACCACAGGGACCCTGGGACACGTCTTCATCCTGGTCCTGGTCTCCTTCAGGTGCTGCTTCAGAGCGGCCTCCTGCCAGGCCCGCGGGTCCAGAGGAGGTCTACGGGGCAGGGGAGGACTCTCTGTGCCCAGCATCTCTGCAAAACACAAACGAGGAAGAACACGAACCAGTCACAAAGGATTCACAACACACTTTACACGTTTATCACTGTTGGGCAAGTGACTTTAAAACTGTAATGTGTTATTTATGACTTGTTACTGTCATTTTAAAGTCATTTGTTACATTACAATATTACTGTGTTTAAAATGTAAAACATGACATGACTATTACAGAACATTTAAGTTACTCTCACCAAAAGAACTGTGAAGATGCTGAACTTTTGCACCGTATGTGGACTAAACCAGGACTGAACCAGAACTAAACCAGAGCTGAACCAGAGCTGAACCAGGACTGAACAGGACTAAACGAGGAACCAGGACTAAACCGAGGACTAAACTGAGGACTAAACCAGGACTAAACCAGGACTGAACCAGCACTAAACCGAGGACTGAACCAGGACTGAACCAGAACTAAACCAGAGCTGAACCAGGACTGAAACAGGACTGAACCAGGACTAAACTGAGGACTAAACCAGGACTAAACCGAGGACTAAACCAGGACTAAACCGAGACTAAACCAGGACTAAACCAGGACTGAACCAGCACTAAACTGAGGACTAAACCAGGACTAAACCAGGACTGAACCAGGACGGAACCGAGGACTGAAGCAGGCTTAAACCAGGACTAAACCAAAACTAAACCAGAACTGTACCAGAATTAAACCAGTTCTAAACCAGGATTAAACCAGAGCTGAACCAGGACTGAACCAGGACTAATCTTGGACTAGAACTTGGAATGAGACAGAACATGAGTCCGTGGAACAGAGTGTCTGCAAAGCGCGATTGCGTCAGCTGCAGCTCGCCCTGTGGAGCGTGGAGTTCTGCGTCGGCCCTTTCACCCGCGGTCACCTGACGGTCTACGCGGGTGCGTTTCCGGTGTTTCACCGCTGCTGATATCACGGCGAAATTTGTATGAAGAAAAACGAAAAACCCACCACTTCGATCCAGATTAAAAAGCATTGTAATGAGCGTTACTGACATTTGTACCGAGTAAAAAAATGTCCCCTATAATGCCGAACATTACTGCGTTACAACAAAAAGCAACGCAGTATAGTAATTCGTTACTTTAATAACACGTTACTCCCAACACTGCTTTTTATATCAGTGGAGTAACTGACTCCACAGATCTGACCTGGCCTCGTGGCATCATCTGCTCATCTCCATGTAAATAAACAAGCTTAACGTAAAGGAACAAAGCAACAACATCTCCAGAACGACAAGCAAGACGGTGGAGTGTGTATGTTCTCTCTGTGTCCGAGTGGGTTTCTCCAGGCACCAGAACATGCACAATAATAATCGTCCAGCTGGGATAGTCCTGACCAAGACACATTCAAGATCTGGAAATGGTCTTACTGCTCCTGACAGGTTTAACCCAGAGACACTGAAGCACGGGTCAAATGCTGAAGACACGTTTCCTTCTGGGCATCATAAAGTCGACCTTAAAGACGGACCGCGAACACACATATCAGCATGTGACCTTTTATTGTTCTTAAAATAACATGTTTTAGAAGTTTCTCTTTCATTTTTGACCCTCTGAACCCACCATCCATCTGCTTGCTTTCTGTCCTAAGTCACTCCCCCTTCAGAGCACTATCACAACACAATCAGCGTGCATCTTGCAAATGAAACTACACACATCGTATCAGGTTTGTCAAGTTGTAGCTTAAAGTTTTGTATCATGTTTTTGTATATTTATGGAGAATTGTCGTGTGGAAACCAGAGTCCTGCACCGGGTCGTGTAAATATTTGCTGAAACGGGTTTAATGTTCTGGAATGTTAAGGGAAGGTATTAGTGAGTACACACGGGCGGGTCAGGTGAATAAAATGAACGATGAACGGGATAAAAATACTTGAAGCGCATCCAGGACGTTGTTGCCCTGGAAACAAGTGACATTTCTCGTCTTTTCTCGGAACGATGGACCAGACTGACTTTTGTGTTTTTATTACAGAAAACCATCAAAGGAGGTGATCAGCTCAACGACTGCACTCCTGGTTTAGTCCTGGTTCAGTCCTGGTTTAGACCTGGTTCAGTTCTGGTGTAGTCCAGGCAATCGGTTCAGCGGTTGAGTTGTGTATATATTTATGGTAAAGGCACTGGTTTAGTCCTGGTTCAGTCCTGCTTTAGAGTTGGTCCAGTTCTGGTTTAGTCCAGGTTTAGTCCTGGTTTAGACCTAGTCCAGTCCTGGTTTAGTCCTAGTCCAGTCCTGGTATAATCCTGGTGATCGGTTCTGTGGTTGCGACGTGAATATATTTATAATACGCTAATGACATGGCATAGGTTCAGTCCTGGTCAGTGTTGGGAGTAACGCGTTATAAAAGTAACGAACTACAGTAATGCATTACTTTTTGCTGTAACACAGTAATGTTCGGCATTACAGGGGAAAAAATAGTAATATTTTACTCGGTACAAATGTGAGTAACACGCGTTACAGTGTTTTTTTTTAACCTGGATTGAAGTGGTGTTTTTTTCTTCATACAAATTCGCTAAAATCACCTCAATATCAGCAGCGGTGAAACACCGGAGGTGCGCCTGAGTAGACCGTCAGGTAACCGCGGGTGAAAGGACTGACAAAGAACTCCACGCTGTTTAGACCTGGTTTAGACCTGGTTTAGACCTGGGTCGGTTCTGGTTTAGACCTGGTTTACACTCGTCCCTCCCTCTATCGCAGTTCACTTTTCGCTGTCTCGCAGATTTTTTTGATTTTTTTATTTTTTGTGCAATTTTGCATGCCCTTTTTTTTTTTTTTTACATTGTATGAACACGTATTGCGTTCCTCCCGCTGCGTCCTGACTGGCCAAGGGACTCCTGTCTCCTGTCAGTACAGTACAGAATGTGTCCAGCTGCCAAATTTAAATACATGTTCAGTCTCTAGCAGTGTGATTCTGAAGTGCTGTATGTTTGCAAGTTTTCTCCTCGACGAAACCCACAACGTCGACGAAACGTTCTGCACCGACAAAGGCTCCTGCGCTCGCACCCAAAAGGCAGAGGAAGATGCTAACATCACACAAAAAGTTGGACTTCTGGACACGCTGAAGGAAGGTAGAAGTTACGCGCTGTAACAGACTCTTGCACCGGCTCGGGTCCCTGCAAATAGTTGCTGAAATCAGGGCCGCGAGCCCGAGCAGCAGGGTCCATAAAGAGCGATCGGGCGACAGCCGCTCTTACCTCCGTGAGGTGTGGAGCAGAGCCGCTCCTTTCTCCTGCGTCACCTTCGAGACCGTCCCTACAGTGAGTCCTGTTTTAGTCCTAGTTCAGTTCTGGTTTAGTCCTGGTTTAGACCTGGTTTAGTCCTGGTTCAGTCCATATACAGCGCAAAAGTTATTTTGGTGAGAGTAACTTAAAGTAATGCAATAGTAATGTAATGCCTTACATTTTAAATGCAGTAATATTGTAATGTAACGAATTACTTTGAAATGACAGTAATAGGTAATAAATAACGCATTACAGTTTCAAAGTAACTTGCCCAACAGTGGTCCTGGTTCAGTCCTGGTTTAGTCCTGGTTCAGTCCTGGTTTAATCCTGGTTTAATTCTGGTTTAGTCCTGGTTTAATTCTGGTTTAGTCCTGGTTTAGTCCTAGTTTAGTCCTGGTTCAGTCCTGGTTAAGTTCTGGTGTAGTCCTAGCAGTCGGTTTGGCGGTTGAGGAGTGTTATGTATTTATGGTAAAGGAACGGGTTTAGTCCTGGTTTAAAACTGGTTCAGTCCTGGTTTAGTCCTGGTTTAAAACTGGTTCAGTCCTGGTTCAGTCCTGGTTTAGTCCTGTTTTAGTCCTGGTTTAGTCCTGGTTAAGTCCTGGTTTAGTCTTGGTTTAATCCTGGTGTAGTCCTGTTTTAGTCCTGGTTCAGTCCTGGTTTAGTCTTAATGCGCCGACCCTGATTCATCACAGACACGGGCGGGTAACGGGTGGAATGTTAAAAATGGTCCCCTGCAGGACTCTGGCTGACGTAGACTTGTGGGCGGAGCCTTGTACCGAATCTTACATCTAAAGAAGTTTCAAATAGAGCCCGCGAGAGATCCCTAAATGACTCAAACACGCACGGACGACGTCTAAAGCCTCTTCAGACACGTTTCGGACGAGGGAACAGTGTTGTTAACGTGGATTTTGCGCGATTCTCCTTCGTCTTTCACCTCAGACAAACCGTACCCAGTATCGCTCGGACGTTTTTCTGACTCAGTGTCTCTGTTTTCTTCTCTCACATCAGTTTAATAATTACAAGACAGAAGGAGAGGAGCCGTCTTTTTCTCTGTCCCGGGGCCTTCCTGTTTCCCGCTTCACCGCTCTCACATTATTAACCACAATCACCCACAATGCACCGGGCCTCGCGCTCGTCCACATCTGCTTTTGACGGGCGCACATAAAGTTTACGCCTCGTGTGGGTTTCAGGTAAAAGACACGTGTTTGTGGAAGAGAGAGAGCGAGGACGGGACGGGAAAAGAGCGAGAGGAGAAGAGGTAATGACAGAGCAGAGGACACACAGAGAGAGAGAGAGAGAGAGAGAGAGGAGAGGGAAAGGGAAAGGGAGGGAGAGAGCAGGTGAGAAAAAGAGCAGAGGAGAGAGAGAAAGAAGAGAGAGCAGAGGAGAGAGAATGTAAAGAGAGCAGAGGACAGAAAAAGAGCAGAGCAGAGGAGAGTGCAGGTAGAGAGAGAGAGCAGAGGAGAGAGAGAAAGAGCAGAGGAGAGAGAGCGAAAGAGCAGAGGAAAGAGAGACAGCAGAGGAGAGAGAGAGAAAGTAGAGGAGAGAAAAAAGGGGAAAGAGAGAGCAAAGAAGCGAGAGCAGAGGAGAGAGAGAGAGCAGAGGAGAGAGAGTGAGAAGAGGAGAGAGAGCAGAGAAGAGAGTGCAGAGGAGAGACAGAGCAGAGGAGAGAAAAACAGAAGAGGAGAGAGAGAAAGTAAGAGAGCAGAGGACAGAGAAAGAGGAGAGGAGAGAAAAAGAGCAGAGGAGAGTGCAGGTAGAGAGAGAAAGAGCAGAGGGGAAAGCA